TTAAACTTGTCAGAAAGATGGAGCATCTTTACATCCAGCATTAGAAAAAAATCAAAGATGGACAAGCCACATTGTTTGCATGTGTCAAACAGGGGCAATAAACGGACAAATGCGTTATTGACTTGCAAATATCTCCCTGTCTCCATGTTGCTTTGTTTGTCCATAGATAGTAAAACAAACTTTGTAAATGACAAATCTAGATTTTCTTTGAATTATGAATTTGAAAACAGAATGCAGCGGCAGGAAGAGACAGAACCTTGTCCATCGCTGGTCACAGAAGAATAATGAAAACACTAAACACTTCATTTGTAAAGGACAGATGGATGATGCATATATTTAAACTAAAGCTGCTGTTTTCTTTGGCAAAGAAGCCAGCGATCACCTTACAACCCATGCAATAATATATCAAATTTAGGAATTCATTTATACATAAATGAATCAAGATAGCTTTCTAAACGATAACTATCAGGAACCATAACCATAACTCATCAAAGCTTGTGAAGACTGGGGCCTTGCTTTTCCTTTTTTAAGAATGCCAGAATTAAACCCTATTCTGGCAGTGGTTATACACGGTTCTTTATTTTTGTCAGGTTTAATGGGAAACATGTTTATTCTGATTGTTCACTTTGTAGACTGGTGGAAGACTCGGGAGCTCAACCCTTGTGATGTGATCATCAACTGCATTGTCATATCCAACATAGCCCTCCAAGGAACAATTCTAATCAATGAGGTCTGCTTCTTCATGTTTGTGGTACTCTACTTTCAAGAAAGGGTAGTCAATGCCCTTGCAGCAGCCATGTCTTCGTTGGCATTCTCCAGTCTCTGGTGTTCCACCTGTCTGTGCTTTTACTATTGTGTGAAGATTATCAATATCAGCGGGGCATTTTTCTACAAACTCCAGGCAAAGCTTCCAGTAATAGTACCTTGTCTGTTGGCACTATCTGTTGTTATGTCTTGGACAGCTGGGCTGCCTGCCTATTGGGATCTTTACTTATATATGGCCTTTACTAATGCCACCTTGTCCGGGAACCTCACCAACCACAGATATTATAATATTAAGAGCAGATGTAATTGCCTGTTTCAGGTATACATGCTGTTTTCCTCCATTGCATTCACCATCGTCTTTATCACAGCCGGGACCATCATCGCCTCTTTATGCAGACACATACTACGCCTCAAAAAAAACAGAGAAGGCTTTAGCAATGCAAAAGTCAGATCCAACCTGTCGGCTGCTAGGACTGTTACCTTTCTGCTCATACTTTACTTAGCTTTTTATGGAGTGCTTAATGCAATATTCAATGAAACTACGGGCGTAGGCACTTTGATGTTTTCAATTTGTTTTATAATGCTTTCAACTTTTCCAACAATCAATTCTATTATATTAATCACAGGAAACAGAAAACTGGCTAACGCTATAAAGCATCTCTTTGGCTTGAAGTCTGATACTGAATGTGG